CCTATCAGGGGCGGACTGGGCCGGGGGGCAGGGTGGCAATTGCCCCCTGGGCTAAAAGTTGCCAGTCAGCCCCTGTTCCCTATGGTCCCTCGGTGTGTTGTAAAGTAGCCACCACTCCAAGCTTACTCCTGTGATGGACTACAATCTCATGTTTAGTTTGCTAATTTGTATTGAAATTGTAGCCCATCACAGGAGTGAGCTTGGTGTGGTGGCTACTTTACAACACACACAGGGACCATGGGGACAAAAGTAGCCACCAAAAGTAGCCAACCTTCAGAAGGAAGGACAGTGCCAGCACCAATTCAGAGATGATTTGAGGATTTATAGCTGAGTGATACACAAATAAGATACCTTTTTTCTTAATAGTTAAGGTAGTTGAATGCATTTTTAATCTTTAACTCCTGAGTTTAGTGTCACTTTAATGAAAAGATAAAGATGTAGGCTGACACTGCTGAAAATGAGCTGCCTCTGAACAAGTATGCAACCACTGGAGTCAGAATTCTTGATCTGCATTTTAGTGGATCAGCATTTTAGCCAGCAAATTAGCACTCTCTCAAAGCACAGGTTCTGCTAACACAAAAATTGTAATCCTTTGTAAAAAAAAAAAAAAAAGCAACAGGTACACTTCAAATGAAATAGGTGTCCTACTTATATATGAATTCTTAGGATCAAGTAATGATTTGGGTAATAGCTGGATTTAAATAACGCTATAATCTATGAAAAGTTTTAGTGAGTCGTTGTTTATATACAGGAGCACTTGTTCTACAGTGTGCATTTGCTCAGAAACTGCCCTCAAGTCAGTGAAGATAATGGTTTGTCATACACAGAGGGAAATACAACTTTTTGGTAGCTCAAACATCACAATTAATATGCTCCGTATGCCTACATATATTTTAGGGACCACACAACAGTAGCCAGTTTGTTTGTGTGCTTTATGGCTACAAATGCAGAGGGGGAGCAGTTTGGCCTCCCATTGTTGTAGCAATGCCTGTTGTGTCCCTAGTCCACTGGCTGCTATTTGGCAGAAAACAGCATATGACCTGCACTGTCTAAATGCTACTCAGGATGGCCTAAACCTTTTTGGGTGCTGAAAGTCTCTGGTAACAAGTATATCACTCAGATTCACAAAATTAAAACATATTAACACCAGTTCAGCTCACAAAATGTCTTTCTGCGATATGTTGAGGGTACGGGGGTTCTTCCATTTACTGATGGGCCCCACCACAACCCACATGTAGGTTTTGCATGATACTTAATGAAGATATGAATTATTTGGATTTCACACCAGGAGATATCTTTATAACACTGATAATAGTTGCATTTAAATAAATACAAATAAACTATAAAAAGGACAGTTTTATAACCAGGATTATTCAATATTATTTTACATTACATTGGTCTAAACTAATTCCATTTTGGGGCTGAGAGGCAATGTAATATTTACATTTATGTGTTCTGTGAATTTACAGATTAATATATACCACCTTGCTGCTTAAGCAAAAATAAAAGGAATTTTCTCTTTTAGTTATATCAGAATACCAGGCAAGCCATCTAGGTGTGGTAATTGTGTTACCTATCCAAACATTTGTGATTCTGTTCAGCTGGTCCCGGGTACTCCTGCCGCATAGTATAACCAAGGTCCCTGACCTCTGACCACTGCAGTTAAGTACAGCTTGGTCAAGGATCCCCCTAGTTTGCTCCTTGTAGAATGAAGGAGTTCTCTCTACATGTCAGCAAAATTCCAGTGTTAGGTTGATGGCGCTATACCATGCAGTAGAGGCTGACTGGCCTACACTGCTGGCCCTCCCTCTAAGTATTTTTTTACAGAATTACAGGAAGCTTATATAACGACACATGTAGTTATTTATTCCAGCTGTAATTCAAAAATACATTCACTATTTTTAAAGAATATACACTAAATGGTGCTTTAAATTTAACCAGGAGTTCATCTTTAATAGAGAACTGTAAAACATCTTCAATGTTGGTCTAATTCCACCAATGGGACTATCCTGACCCCTTTCTTGAGACCCAATTCATCTTCTCTTTGGAACCTGCTTTGGGGCCCCCAGAGTAGTCCGGGCTAATCAGCTCCTTCCTCCTATTATAGTTAGTAATCTCACTAGGCATTTTCCTGCAGCTGAAAGTTTTAAACACCATGTCTATTAAGTACCAGAATGTATGACATTTCGTAGTACTGCACACCCAATGATTATATTAAAGTGGCGGGCTACACATCATTCAAACACTGTTCCCCCCCCAAGTATAAACACACCAGATCATATGACAACACAGCAGCCAACAAGATCCTACTTTTTAACATTTCTAGTGCATGTTAGCAAGAGGAAGCTAACATTATAATTGTAATTATTTTTTGTATCTTTTTCTATGCATCTATTTTCCTAAATATTCTTGCCATCATAAAAGTCATCTAAACCTTTAAAATACGTACATTTTGTATTCTTGAAAACCATCTAGTGATCACCACTTCACTGCATAAATGAGTCATCTCTCAGCTAATCTTTGCTCTCCCTCTGAACACTGTGGAGTTAGATGTAACAAGCAATCCATGATGAAAGGCTGCGCGGGACATTTTTCTGTCAAAAGAAGTATGCAAGTCTGATGTATCATAATGAATTATCTAAATGCTTTTAAAGTTGGTGCACGTGGCTGACAGGGAGTGCAGCTATGAACTACTGCATGCCTATAGACAAGTGCATAAAATAAATACATATAACAATAACACATTAGGAGCAATTCCATATATATATATAGCTACCGCATGCCCGGGTACTCATCCACAGAGAAATATTCATACAAATCCAAAATAGGTATAGGTATACTCACGGGCCTTGCAGTGGAGATAAGTCAAAGCATTTCATTTTTATTGTTAATATAATTCGGTTGTTTTGACTTTTGCACGCTGCAAAACCCATGAGTGTGTTTATACCTATTTTCGATATATATAAAATCACACATGTAGCTTTGCTACTTTATGGGGCATATTTAATAGCATAGCTAGGGCCTCACATATTAAAGTGTAAGGTACCAGGAATGAGGGATATTTTGGGTCATCCACCTGCCGGTTTTGGCCCTGCTGTGTAAAAATGACCTGAAAGTCTAAATCTTTGGTAATGGAGGAGAGATGACCATTCTTGATACTGACACTTTGATAGGAAGCCCACAGTGCATAAATAAATAGTGCTCAAACCCACAGAATTCAATCAGCAGTCTGTCTTCAGAATTTTAATTTAGACTGTCCCAAACTGATTTCCGATTGGCTGATAATAGAAACGCTCTTTGTAAAACAGAGCTCTATGTCCGAACTTCATGTCCTGTATTAAGTCCATATTAATAAAAATTAATATGCCAACATGTCTGTAAGGATTTTTGTGTGTGACACTATGGGGGTTGATAAAAGGTAAAGGACAACAATGTGCACATTCCTAAAGCAACCAATCAGGAATCAGCTTTTGACAAGTTGAAGTAGATAGGACTATCTGCACCATCAACAGCTGCTATGACTTTTTGCACATTTTGGCCTATTAAAAAACATTCACAGCAAACTTTGGAAAGACCTCTGCAAAACATAGTTCATAAGCGGCAATGGTCACGTTTGTGATCCATGGGTTTTTGTACATTTGTTCTGTTATGAGAATGAACTGAAGTGTTTACACTGAACAATGTTCAACCACAATGCCTCATGAACAGGTTTCAGTAGCAAACACAGTCAAAACCATTGCTATTATTACTGAGACTATCTTTAGCAGATGTCAAGCCTTATGGTGCAATAAAAAGACCCTAATATCTACCGTGACCCTCCTGTCAAATCCTGTTACTTTGTACAAATTTAGGTAACTTGCAACTCCCCAGCTGTCATGGAGCTACAAATTTCCCAAGCCCTCCGAGTCAGCATTTGTTTGTTCCAAAACTAGAGAGACCAAGAGACCTCCTTTCTCTTGATTTCCCAAAAAAGAATGTTAAACGTTTTTAAAATACTAAAGTACAAGGCATATGTGGAATCCCAACATAGTGATTTTATGTTTTGTAGTATAGTATCAGGTAAATAAATTACACATTTAGTGAGGATAGCCCACCAGATCAGCAGACTTGAGTTTTTCTATTAATATTATTTTCTTACTTCCCTTTAACCCACTTGCCAGTTTGTAGTAAACAGGTTTCTGCTTCTGAATAGGCTGTACATTAAATAATAACTCCGCAGAATATAAATGAATGTCTAACATTACTACTTTCAACATAAACATTCTAAGTGCTCAAAAACTGGCAAACAAACCTGGACTTCACTATCAGTATTTGTTAGCCACAAAACAAACCCAACCAGCCACTGTATTGCACTTGTATTGTGTAAGAAACTATATTCCCTTGTATTTAAAATATGCACTCCCAGAATTTCCTACCTAAAAAACAATCTGCAGAACAGAAATCTTCAGTACTGGTTTGCTTAATTCAGGGGTACATTATTCCGGTAGTAAAGCGCCCTGAGCAGTTTAAGGTTTACAATGTTGTTTACAGCACTCTGTAAAAGTACTTATCCACTGAATGAAGAATGGTCTTACGTGCAGACAGTGTGTAGTTGTTTCTGTTGCAGGAACAGTGACAATCACTATGCAGCTAGTGCTACACAGTAACATAAACAATGCTGGGAGGTCAGCTCCCTGAAGATTATGAGACTGGATCTATGAAGTCACATAGGCACCAAACTGTGTCATTTGTGCTTTTGTGGTAAAAGAGCATGAATGGAGCTTTGAAAACAGCTGTTTATAGGCTCAGTGTTCACATAAAGGCAGCCAAAAGGGGTCTTAGATACAGAGTATCTCTGTAATGTCTCTATAACTGGAACATGAACACATTTCCCTGTGGGCATCATCAAAATATATTATCCATCTTAATAATTATTCTGCAGGCAAGGTATAATTTGTCCTTACAATATTGCATTTATATGCACTTCATCCACACTCTGAGAAAAAATAAACCCTTCCACTGACATGGCGTTTGTATTATTTCTGTAGCAAACAGTTAAACCATGGTTTCCCACAGATATAAATATACTTATAGTTACAAGTCTGGCATAAAAATTCTCATTAGCTATTATCTTGTGTTTCACACGTGTGTTGGACAGTCCATAAAGAGGTCTGTTTTAGCCACTTGTAGAGAAAGGGGAGGGGGTTTGTAGGGGCAGCTGCTCAAGCTGCAGGGAATACCTCCTCCACTCCTAGGCTTCCCTCGAGTCCTTGTGCCCACAACCCCGAGCCGGCGCTGGCATAGGATTCCCTGCCAGGCCTGTAGTGTCTTTGAACTCCATACCCACACACCGCTGGTTATGCCCACGGCTAGAGACATGAAGATCTTGAGCATGAAGACTGCTACACTGGGTATGGAGGTAGGCAAGGTACAATCTGGCCTGCTACTCCCGGCTGCTGTCCTACAGGGCTCTTCTCGAGCCCTGGCCTCCCAGTGAGCCAAGTTAAGTCTTTCATAAAAGCAACAGACAATGATGCAAGTTGCTGGGACAGTATATAGTATAGAGAACACACCAATCTTAACCATTAGCTTCTCCAGTTTCTCCGTATTGGTTCCCCCAGTTTTCATTACACGGCGGATGTGGAAGAGGGCTACAAAGCCAGTTAGTAGAAATGATGTGCCGGTCACCAAGTAGCAGGAGAGAGGCACAAGAACAAATCCAGTTAGGGCACTGGGGTCCGAGCCACCAACATAGCAGAGTCCAGTCAACTCATCTCCCCCCACTTTTCGCATTGTGAGTATGATAATAGTCTTCACTGCTGGAATACCCCAGGCAGCTAGGTGAAAGTAGCTTCCATGGGATTCAATGGCCTCATGACCCCACTTCTTGCTCGCTGCCAGGAACCAAGTGAGGGTTAATACCACCCACCACAGTGAACTGGCCATGCCAAAGTAGTACAATATAAGAAAGACAAGGGTGCAGCCACTGCTCTCCAAGCCCTCTCGGATCAAGTAGGGGGCGCCACCTTCCCGGTCACAAGCTATGCTGGGGGTTCCAGCTGCAGCTCGGATGAGAAATGCAGTGCAGTATACATTGTAACACATGCTAAGAAAGATAATTGGCCTCTCGGGATACTGGAATCGCTGGGGGTGTAATAAAAAAGTCAATACTGTGAAGGCAGTGGAGATAAAGCAAAGACCAGACCAGGCTGCCATCCACACTAAAGCAAAGTCCTTATCACTTGAAGACCAGTAGACATCCACTCCTGGGGTGCACCTTGGGGCACAAACTCCACTCCTCTCCACATATAAAAATTTGTCAGGGTTGGGGCAACGGCTGGGTATACCCATCCCTGCACCTGATGGACGTGGAGGCCGTGGTGCCACAGGAAGCATACCATGTCCATTGGTAACAGGATCTCCATTTGTGGAATTCTCGGGAGCCTCCATACACAGTGCATTTGGGTCGTTTTTACTGGGCAGACGATCACAGTCCAAAGAAGCAGGCCAGCCAAAATTAAACTGCTCCATTATGGGCACGCACTTCAGACGGGCAGATTCACACATGGGCTTGCATGCAGGAATTGAGGTTGACACCTGCTCGGTGCACATGGGTGCGTAAAGGGAGCAGAGAAAGAAGCGGAGGTGAACATGACAGCCATACTCCACCAGTGGGGCAAACTCCTGAAGTTTTACCGCTGCCTCTTCTTGAGAGTCATGGCCAACATAGTTGGGCATCCTAGTCATGTTGTAGCCAATACCTTGACACATAGGAATCCGAATAAGTTCACATTTTGCTTCTCTTCCCCTCTCCACATCATATAAACCCATCTCCAGAGCAAGGGTCGTCAGCAGCATCTGCCACACGAAGGGAAGGGTTACAAAGCAGCCTAAACGAGACATCCTCAGGGCAAGTCAAACTTGAGCACTGGCTACAAGGCAACAACTGTGAGGACAGGAGCTGAGCCGGAGCGGATATACACAAACACACGACTTATATCCAGCTGTCTGTTTTAAGCAGGACACAATGCATTCCAGCACAACGGCGTGTAGGATCAGTTTTCTAGCCTTACAACTGGGTCACAGAGGACACAAATGACCGTTTCTGTAACAGTTCTCCCAAGCACGATGGACAATACTTGTTGCAAGCTCAGGGCACAGAAGCCAACCATTTGGGAATGTTAAAGAAATCTGTCAGGATCCAGTTTGAAGACTTATGTTACAATCCACAGGAAAACAGCATGCTCTTTTGCAGAATGGCATGGCACTTCTGACTGGTCCAGTGGTATGCCCACAGGCTGGCAGTTCTTGCGGTCTGTAGTCAGGCTGTCTATTCCAGGAGGTCCTCAGTGAGATATTTAGCAAAAGTGCAGCTCTCCTCCTCCCATGCTGCCACTGTGAAATGTTGGGAAACAATGCAAGACTGAAGAGTGTCTGTGACAGGGGGGAAGCAGCGGACGGCACACACGCTTACAGAGAATGAAAACAAATGCCTTGGAGTGCAAATGGGACAGATTAAAGGCAGCGTGGTAATATGAAGAGGGCACAGAGGGTTAAGGACGGAGAGGCTTCGCAGACAGATCCCGCCCAGCCTGCATGCTGGGGAGGGTATGCCAGCTGTTGCTGGGAGCTCTGGCTACTGCTGACACTAAAGCGTGCTATGGATTTCTGAGGAGAGAAATCACAACTGGGATGTGGCTAGGCTTCTAACCCCACCCACATCTGTCAAAGGGGCACGGCCTGGTTAAAGAAACAGTGCCCTCATTAAACAAAGTGAATGGCAATTTGCAAAATTGCTAGAATAATATTTTCCAAGTCATGTCACCCCCCTGTTGGCAGCCATAACAAAGCCAGGCTTTCTGCTGCTTCAGCGAGCAAGATATATATATATATATATACACACACACATCCCTCTCTATATATAATCTGCATATCTGTACAGAGGAGGGGGCTGGGGGGAAATTACACACAAACCTTGTTGATTTGAAAAAGCAGAAGGGAAAATCTTGGGTTACATTTATAAACCGCATGGAATAAGAAGCTCACTGTTTTCTCTCCTGTTCTGAACAAGTCATGTTTTGTGCTCCACTGGAACCTCTGCACAGCATTTATTTTATGAAACATCTGAATTTCTGGCAGCAGAGGAATCTAATACAAAGACACACACACTGGTACATATTTCTACTACAGTCACATGTGCAGCTTACAGGCTCCGTGCCATACAGACATTTCTAGGACATATACAGTGTGAACACGATTGTGCCAATCCAGGGCACAGGAGGGACTGGTGATGACACTGTGTTGGTGACTCAGAAGGGGGGG